CCAGCCCCCCACCCTTTCCTCTCAGTCTCCGGCTTCTGCCCCTCTAGTCTCTGATCCTCCTCCTGAGTACCCCCTCACGGCGCCGCCCCACTGTTCCCTGTCTTTCTGTCCCGCTCCCACCATGAACCCCTCTTTTACAGGCTTACCCAAAGAGCCCCCAAGGTACTCATCTTCCACCCGACCCTGCCGAACCCCAGGCACAGGCTCCACTCCCCATAATCCTCCAACCGCAGGCCCAACCCCCAGGTCCACTTCCTCAGAACCCCCCAGCTCCCCTCCAGCACTATGCCCCGCCCCGCGCCGAAGTCTACCACCCCTCCTGTGACCTTCTTCCTCAAGACCCGGCCTCCCGGTCCTCCGTCATCCTTTGCTCCGCCCTTCACAAGTGTCGGGCTTGTGCCCAGGAAGCCCCTTGCTCCAGGACCCACTCCCTCAGCTACCGGGCTTGATCCCTCCCAGCCTCAGCCCTACCAACCCCAATTCTCCACATCCCGGATCCCACAGTCCCACCCCTCTCTGCTCCACCTTGCAGACTCAGAGACCGATCCCTGTTTTTTCAGCTCCGCCTTCACCGCCCCTCCACGTTTCTGGCCTAGTCCTCAGCTCCTACCCTACTCCCACCACCCCTACCTCAAAAACTCATCCCCAGATTTGCTTTTGCCCCCCTCCCCAGCTCAACTCTGAGCGTTCAATCTCCAGCCCATTCCCAGGTACCCAGCTTGCGGTGCACACAAAGTCTCTGCACAGGTGGACCTACCTGACCACACTCTTTCCATTGCTCCCTACAGCCCCCAAACGCTCTTCCTGCCCCCTGACTCCTGGAGCTTGTCCAGACCCAATCCTCCTGCTGGGCCCGGGGAACTGGGCTCTCTCAACAATATCCAACAGTCAGCAGCCACTTCCCATGCACAGAAGTCCACTGGCTCAGCGAGTCCCTGGCCCTTTTACCCTGTAGGGGTTGCTACCACCCCTCCCCTGGGACAGGCAGTACAAGGAGCTTCCTTATCTCTAGACCCTGATGACCCAAGATGAACTGAGTCCCAATCTTGCCCCTCCTCCACTCACCGCAGCTCCCAGGACCCCTGGCCTGCTTCCCCAGACCTTTACTACGGGGTCTGCACCCCTCCTGTGCAGTGGCGGGGAAACCCAGACTTCTCTGCTCCTCCAGTTTGAAAAGATCTCAGGTCCCAGCCTCACCTCTCTGGCTTTTCCCTGTCCTATCCTGTGACAGAAGCACCAGAGGCAGCCTTCAGAAAGTTCTCCAGGCCCTTGGACTGGAAAGCCCAGGCAGAAGCAGACACTACTCACTCCTCCCACCCCACCCCATCGTCCCTGGCCTGGCTTCTGACACAGAGGAGGAGTGTGACTCACCTCACACCCAGTGGCATATTCTCTGCAGGGTTGGAACCTCTTCCAGACTTGGTGCCCTGTCTGTAGCTCTGAACTGCCCTTCATCAGATTGTATCATGAATAGGGAGCAACAACATGGTCTCCTTGGATCGTGAGAGGAACGCCTGGCCAAAGGCCTCCCCCCTAAACATGTCCATACCCACCAACACACCCTGCATACTTTCTCCAGAAGGAGAAGTGTTGGCTGAGTAGCCAGGCACAGAAAAATAACTGGTCATATTTGACAGGCAGGGAGAAGACCCCAGTAAGAGGGAATGGCTAAAGAACAGGAAAGAGTGGGAATCCCTGGTGGCATAAGTTCTCCAAGGGACTGGGGCCAGAACATGTTAGACAGGAGTAGGGGCAGCTTCTCTATATAATTGCAGATCAAAAAGAAATGATGGAGTAGTACCTCGCTAAGTCCTAAGTTTGGAACCGAAGTTTGATTGTTTCTGTTGTATTTGATGGTTTCTGTTTTCTCTGTGAAATAAAAGGTAAAATCATGTGCTGAGAAAGTCAAGGGAAGATAAGAAGGCCGACTGGGGAAAGGAGCATGAGGGAGGTTTGAAATAATTCTTGCTGGAACATGGCCAGGCCACACTGGGACCCACAGAAGATTTATGACCAGCAGCAACACCCCCAGAAAGAATCTTCATCAGAGAAAAGCAAGTTTTAGTTAGGACTCACAGTTGTAACAGAGAAAAGAGAGTCAGAGGCCACGGTGTCCCGGAAGCTGGCATCAGGGGGACACGTGCCGACTGGGTGGACACTTCTTTGGTCATCAGCTGAACCTTAGCTTAACAAGTGTTAGTTGATTTTTTGTATCCAGAGTTACTTACTCCACTGTAAATGTTATGAAATAGCACATGAACTGATGGAGTACAAGTTTGAAAAGGAAGTCTTGTTCCCTGTGAAAACTAGGCTAAATGTTTTGGAAAGTGAGTCACAAAAAAAAAAAAAAACACTACTGTCAAGTATGGGAAAGGCAACTTGAAAAAGAATAGGAGGAAAAGCCAACCAATCTAGAAATATTCTGAGTCAGTTTGCTTCCCTACTATATTTAAGTTAGTTGGCACACATTAGCGTTTACCAATTATCAGACCTGAGTAAGTGCATAGAAAGGCTAATATTGTAGAGTTTAGACAAATAAGAGGATTCGTTAAATCTAGTTCGGGCCTTGCTAAAGCCAAAAGCTTCAACCATTGTGAATAGGGCACTGTCTTGCTCACTCCTGACTCCCTCGGGGTTAGATTCATTCTTATATAGGACCTTTCCTCCTAGAAAGTAAAGTGGATGCACCCCAAAACCCGCATCTCTTGATCTGAATATCAGATCTTCTAGTCTTGCTTGATAATTCTAGGCCATGAGAGAGAGTTCTTCAATTGACCAGTCATGGGCTATCCCCAGGAGGATGGGGACACCACACTGTGATAGCCCCCACCCCCACTTCCAGAATGCTGCAAAGACAAAATGCTGTAGGAAAAGTGGCAGTGAGCTGGTCCCAAAGCACAGAGGATCACTGGGAGTCTTAGCAAAGGAGGTTTTGGGTTTCTGGGGTGAAGGATTATTTGTGAGGTTTTTGTTGATTTATTGTTGTTTTTGAGGTAACCTTGGTTTACAGTACTGTATATGACATAGGTGACTAGTTTCTCACATCAGATATCACCATATCATACTCACCACCAAAGCACCTTCCCTCCATGGTGACTCTCCTATGTTCCCAGAGAACATAGTATGACTCTACTATGACTCCCAGAGAAATTCTTTACTGCATGTACCAGGCTCTAAGCAGGATGCATGTTTATCCTTAGAAGATAATGAGATGCAGTGACAGAAAAGAAGATTCTTTTTTTTTTTTTTGAGGGTCAATAATGGATTTATTTACAAAGGGGAAAGGTAAAGCAACACCTTAGGGTGGGGGGAGAGATACAAGTCAACTAGAACATCCTACCAGTTCCACTGACTTGAGCCTCTAGTAGCACACTGAAAGCTCATCAAGAGCCATGCAATCAGCCACCAGCATGAAGCTAAGGGAAACAGTGAGTTCAACATGCCTCCCTCATATATATATCCCCAAAAGTGGTTACTTACCTCTGCCCTTGGGTCCTCGCAGTTGTCCTCTGGTATTGCTGGGAGTTGTAGTTTCAATAACTGGAAACTACTGGGGGTGGAGTCCAGAAAAGAAGATTCTTAAAGTGGACATGTGACAGTGTGTCTCAAGATATAAAAAGGGGAGTACTTTGACTACATTAAATTGTATGTGTTTGTCTTACAAAAATAGCCCTGGAGTGTGAGAAAGATTAATAGCCATTAAACTTCTACCTGTGATTGATGCTTACTGACTAACCGGATCATGGGTCGGAGTCAGAGAGGGAGGGAGAAAAGCCAAGGGAGACTAGGCAAAAGAAAGGTCACAGAACAGGGCTGTCATCTGAGGGGTTTGCTCCCCTAGAGAACCTTAGCAACTCTGACCCTCCAGAATTTACTCGATGACTGCAGTCAACCAGTGACTATATGGGCTGTCATTTTCCCTTCTTGAGGATGAGTTTCCTACTTTGTTACACTACACTACCAGTTACTGGGTACCAAGTGAGACGAGGCAGAGAGCTTGTGTATGAAACTACAGGGCACTGTGAAGAACCATACCCAGACTCACCACTGCAAACTGTCCTTGTGCTGAGAGCTGGGCACAGGCAATGGACAAAACTTTGGGGGTTTCTCCCCCGCCAGGAGGAGGGCATTTAAAACTTTGGGGAAATGAGGCATGCATATATTTAGTTGGCCAAAGAAACAGAATGAAACCGAAACATCTCATTTTCCCCTAAAAGTCATGATCCCCTTCATGTTGAAAGAACCCTTGCCTTTTTTTCTCAGGACATGGAAATCTTGGGAGAAAAGAGTATATTTCTTCACCTTCCTGGAAGCTAGGCTTGTCCAGGTAACTGACCAGTCGTAATGAAGTGTGGAGTGGTGACACCTGAAACTACACGGGTAAGCTTTCTTCTTTTTTTTCTGTTTCCAATGACTGGATGGTAGATGTGTGGTCAAAAAACCCAAACAACCCAAACCACAACGATGCACAATATCTAGTGAAGCAACAAGATAGGAGACGATCTGGGCTCCCAGGCTGCTTACCTGCAGACAGGTGAGACTTGCTTAAGCCAGTCTTTCCTGAAGACTCTCTTCCAGCAATTCAACCTATAGTCTAAAAACTACTCATCTTTTCCCTTTACTGAACACCCATGCGTTCTGAGTAGAGCTCAAAGGAGGAGCATATGACTAGGTCTGAGCAATCACTGCATCTCATTACCTTCTAAGGATAAACATGCGTCCCACTTAGAGCAGTAAAGAA